GAAAGTCACTCAGTCGTGTTTGACTCTTTGTGACCCCGTGGACTATACAGTCTATGGAATTCTCCAGGCCATAATACTGGAGTGGGTAGCCTTTCCCTTCTCCAGGGATCTTCCCAACCCAGGGATTGAACCCAGGTATCCTGCAATGCAGGTGGATTCTTTACTAGCTGAGCTACAAGGGAAGCCCAAGAATACTGGAATGGATAGCCTATCCCTTCTCCAGCGGATCTTCTTGACCCAGGAATTGAATTGGGGTCTCCTGCATTGCAGGCGTATTCTTTATCAACTGAGCTATCAGGGAAGCCCCTCGTCACTTGGGAAGGCCCCATTATCCGCAGACTTGAGTTAATTGCTTGCTGGTGTTGGAAAACGCACATTGGAGTATTGTAAACTCTTGGTGTATGATCATGTGCCTTTGTTAATGGTTTTCTGATCATTTTATATGGCCTTACTTGTCTTCCCAACAACATAACATGTTCTTAAAAGGAAATTTTCCAGTATTCTATCACTTTGGTTTCCTCTGTAGCACCCAAGCATGTTGAGCTGATTGTTTTTGAACCTTAGAAGATTAGTGATACAGCAGACTGGTATATAACAAAGCCCTTAGTAGTTAGTAAATACTCAGCAATTGTTAATTGTTGTATCAGTGACAGCAAAACAGCAGCATCAGAGTATTGGCCAAACAGTGTCCATTTTCTTCAGTGTTACCTTTTAGCATGCAGCTAATTTTTCATTAAAATATCTCATCCTATTTTTGAAGAATATCAAACATTTCAAATAGAATTTCCTCATTCTGGGATGTCAAATAATCTGTCAGATTGTCCTGTATGATCTTTTGTGTTTGACAATGCTGTGTGTGTTTGAATAACAAGAATCTAACAGTTACTGGCATGAGCTCTCATTGCATCAGTGTCTTGTACAGTCCTTGTCAACCTGATGACAAGTGTTGCTATCTCCATTTTGGAGATGGGGGCCCGAGAAGTTAAGTAACCAGCAGAAGTTACACAGAACATACGAAGCCTGGGTGGAATCATTGTTGGTTAAGATAGCTCCAGCTGCTGTAACAAGAAACCCCAGAATATATATGTACAATTGTTTAAACACAATGAGAAGCATGTTTCTCATTCACATAAAATACAGCTTGGAGTTTCTGATTAGCAGAGGACTCTCTTCCAAACTATAATTCAGGGTCCCAGGTTCCTTACATCACATAGGCCTCAGGTCATCAGAGAAAGCACAAGGAGAGTGGTTTATAAAATGATGAAGCCTGATTGGTTTATAAGCCTGATTGCAATCATGAAGCCACACTGAAGTGACTGCAAAAAGAGGCTGGGAGATGTAGTCCAGTGTTGTGTCCATGAAGAAGAGTGGCCCAGAATCCAAGGTGCTCTGGATTCTTAGTCAGTGACTGGTGAAAAAACTTGTTTTTGTTTTCTTAAAAAAACAGAAACCAAACTCTCAGAATTATGAAACCAATGAATAAAACATTTCCAAGAGCTTTGTGTTTTTTTGAGCTATTAATATGTCTGTCTATATTTTATTTTCCTGACCCCACCAAAGGAGGATAATAACTTGTCTAAGAGAATCTTCCTTCCTTGACTGCTGTGGCAGATCTCAAGCAACTCTCTGGCGAGTGGAAAGATGGATTAAAATATAACCACTAAATAGAGGCTTTGAGACTTTCAAAATTAAATTGTGTGCTTGTAGTTTTCCTGGAAACCACAAAAAAGCAGTCACTAAGGTGGTCTTAAAAGATTTAAAGACATGAGTATGAATGATAGGAAGTCTCGGCTACTACTTAGATTGTGATTAGGACATCAAACAATTATATGATTTCTGTATTATATTTTTCTTTTTCTCATTTTGAAGTCTTCAGGCTAAATACATCATTATACAATGCTTTTTGTTTTAATAGAAAAAAACACAACCCTAATATTATTGGCTTTGGATAGACAGTCTATAAAGTGATAGTTCTTCTAGGAGTGTTAACATCAAGGATCTGTCTGGCCATTCAGGGAATTAAGAAAGCAGAGAATTCTAACTCTAAGGCCGTTGGGTTCCATTAGTGTGGAGCTATTAGCATCTTCAGAATCTAAGTTTCCATCTCCATTCTAACTCCATAATCACTTGCAAAGTGGGGAAATGGAACCTGTCCATGCTTCTTAAAAATATATTTAAAAACAATCTTCACTGTAACAAATTAGTGTGACTGACTTTTTAACCAAACTGACTGGTCACACAAGTGAAAACGCTTGAGATTCTTTGTACATAAACATAGTCCCAAAGGGTATGTTCTAGTCACTTCTCCAATCAGTGAACATTTCTAGAATATGCTTGTGTCAGACACTCTGACAAGTGCAGGGAACACAGAGGAGTGTGTGCAAGACAAACTCTCGCCTTCACTGGGCTTTCAACTACAGAGACTCAAAAATTCCAAACAAACCAAAACCTGAACAGTTGCATCCAAAACCGTGAAATGCTCAGCTGGGAGTTGTAGGAGCTAGAAGAAGAGCTTCTAGATCGAGGGGAGGGTCCCGTTAAGGTCTTCTTTCCTGGAGAAAGAACTGAAGAGGCTACGAGACACAGAATCCTTGTTAGAGCAGTGTGTGAGTGGGGCGTTCCCTGGGAATGGAGGGAGAAGACCCAAAACGCCGCTGCTTTGGCATCTGCTGTTTTCACTTGTTATTTCTCGTAGTTCTGAATTCCAGTACAGTACTTTGCTACTTTGGTTTTAAAGATACTGTGTTAAGTTCTTACACTTGTAGGACACACGCGAGTCTGCACAGTCCTTATACACTCTGTAAAATACTTCGCTGCACTTTAAAATGCTGACATGCAAGTTCATTGTAGACAGTGGTCTATTTTTAGGCTTGAGGAATTCAAGCCCACTTCTCCAGAACTTTTAGAGATAAACACTCATATAAAATATTCTCTTAAACAGCCCCCACTGTTTATAATGTCATTTGATGCTCTGTTGAAATCTCCACAGAAAGCATCAAATACTTGGCTCTAACTTTTCCAGGCCAAGGTCATATTTTCTGATGAGTTTGAAGATCATGTTGACGGATGAAACTGGTGAAGTGTTGACATATGTTTGGATGATTAATCATTTTATTCCTCTCAACACCAAAATCATGCCCAGTGTGTTTTGTAATTGACTTGGTGATAATTTCGGAAAGAGATAATCCTGAGAAGTTAATCTTAACAGCTTGTTTGTCTGAGTGAGCATTTCTGTGTACAGCTCAATTTATATAAATCTCAATGTATTTTTTAATTATTTTGCCCATGTATCATTAATAAATATCTCAAGACCATTGTCATCTTTTCAAATTCCTTTTTCTCTTCCTTCCTAACTCTCCTTGATACTTTGTGGTTTAGCTCAGTTTATTTAGATGTTTTTCTGTCATAAGCTTGGCGGGGCTGGGAGTGTTAGAAGTGAGTTTGGATTGGCCATTTGTGTTTCTGTAGATCTCAAGGGATTGTTATCAAGTCCCCTGGCCTCCTAGTTTCTACCTTCTAATTCTGGGTCTTTTTCATACTCAAAAGAAAATCAATTGCTTTAAGACAGACATCCCCCTGGTCAAGTTACAGGCTGTCTACTTGGACATGCGGTCACTCTTTGATCTTTTAAAAATTAATTTATTCTTTGTTGCCTCTGGTGCCTGGCCTGCCAGGAAGTCTCATTGGGTTCTCTCTGTATCTCCAGGAAACATGAGGATAAATTTTCCTCTAAACTTCTCTTTTAGGGACAGATATCTTAAGTAATGTGATTGGAAATTTTCAACCTATTTGTGAACAGAACCTGGTGTTAATGTTTCTCCATTGGGGTCTGCACTGTGGGTTCATTCCAGCCACTAATGCCATGTTCTAGAATACAGTTCTATACCAGGAAGAAAATTGTCATTTCTGCTTCTTTTGTTAAAATTATGCTAAAACATATATAACACCCACAGGGTCGCAAAGAGTTGGACATTCCTGAAGCAGCTTAGCACTCGCACACACATGCATACACAACATGAAATTTACCACTGTAACCATTTCAGGTGTACTGTGCAGTGGCACTTACCTAGACAGCATATTAAAAAGCAGAGACATTACTTTGCCAACAAAGGTCCGTCTGGTCAAGGCTATGGTTTTTCCAGTGGTCATATATGGATGTAAGTGTTTGACTGTCAGGAAAGCTGAGCGCCAAAGAATCGATGCTTTTGAACTATGGTGTTGGAGAAGACTCTTGAGAGTCCTTTGGACTGCAAGGAGATCCAACCAGTCCATCCTAAAGGAGATCAGTCCTGGGTGTTCATTGGAAGGTCTGATGCTGAAGCTGAAACTCCAGTACTTTGGCCACCTCATGTGAAGAGTTGACTCATTGGAAAAGATGCTGATGCTGGGAGGGATTGGGAGCCGGAGAAGGGGATGACAGAGGATAAGATGGTTGGATGGCATCACTGACTCGATGGGCGTGAGTTTGAGTGAACTCCGGGAGTTGGTGATGGACAGGGAGGCCTGGCATGCTGCAATTCATGGGGTTGCAAAGAGTCGGACACAACTGGGCGACTGAACTGAACTGAACTGATGCAGTGGCAGTACGTTTACCTTGTTGTGCAACCATCACCCCCTCCATCTCCAGAACTTTTCACCTTCTCAGACTGAAACTGTGCCCGTTAATGAATGACTCCCTAATTCTGCCTCCCTCCAGCCCCTGTCAACCACCGTCCTGCTTCCCATCTCTGAATTTTGACCTCTAGGTGCCTCATACAAGTGGAACCGTGCAATATTTGTCCTTTGGTGTCTGGCTTATTTCACTGAGTTTCCCTGGTAGCTCAGAGGTTAAAGCATCTGCCTGCAATGTGGGAGACCCAGGTTTGATCCCTGGGTTGGGAAGATCCCCTGGAGAAGGAAATGGCAACCCACTGCAGTATTCTCTCCTGGAGAATCCCATGGATGGAGGAGCCTGGTAGGCTACAGTCCATAGGGTCGCAGAGTTGGACACAACTGAGCGACTTCACTTCATTTTATTTCACTGAGCTTAGTGTCTTCAGAGCTGACCCATGTTGTGCCATGTGTCAGAATGTCAATTCTTTTTAAAGCTGAATATTCCATTGTATGTCCAGACCAGGTTTTGCTTATTGATATCTTGATGGACATTGGGTTGCTTGCTTCTACGTTTTGGCTATTGTGAATAAAGCTGTTATGAGCCTTGTGTACAAATATCTGAATCCCTGCTTTTACTTGTTTTGGGTATATGCTGTGATGTGGAATTGTTAGATCATATGATAATTCCATGTTTAATTTATTGAGGAACCGCTATATATAGCTGTTTTCTACCTTCTTGATCCCTATTGTAATCACATGACCATATCCTGGCTGAAGAGGGTGAGATGCGGATGAAGGGGCCTAAGGGGCTTCTCTCTCCGGGATTGTCTTTGGTTAGAATGTTCCTTTTAATTGATGAATGATGCCTGAGGAAAAAATTCTTTGGCTTCATGCTAATGAATTCCTGAAAGAATAAAAGGCCCCATAGTACTGAACTGTGGGAATTGGGATTTGAGCCTTAGGCAGCTGGTTATGAGGAGTGCTGCTGGGTAGCAGACTCAGATGCCACGCATTGTCTTCAAAATCCTCCCCCTCGGTTAATGAGACACCAGCAAGAAACAGCGGTCCACGAGCGTGTCTTCCTGTGGACTTCCCAGTATAATGCATCCGTACTCATAAGATACCCCCAGGTACGACCCTCAGATGCAAGCAATAATGAGGCCAGACTCTGGGACATGGTGCCACAGGTGTGGGTATGGTGGGTGAGCTCAGCGATAACCCCCTCCCAGGAGATGCCACAGTGCCTGCCGTGCGCAGATCTCCACCCCAGAGCTAACAGACCTCCGTCCCACAGGTTACAGGTGGCTTCCTGCCTTGCACACAGAAACACTAGGTACCCAGAGAACATTTTCTGTTTTCCAGAACTTTCCAAATTGCTGACTATGTCAGTTGCTCTTACTGGACTTGTGCAGTGAGACCTAAGAATTAAAATCAATTAGCCTCCGTGTTGTTCCAGCTAAACCATGTGCTTGCATCATCTTTGGTTGCGCAAGAGGATGTCACCCCCACCCCAGGCTTGGCCACCTCCCCAGCTGCATCCAGCGACTGCACTCTGGGACTTGAGCTCCCCTCGGTTCAGTCCTTAGGAGAAGCTTGTGTAGAGAAGCAGAATCAGAGAGGATTATCTGAAGGATATACAGTCCCTCTGTTCTTCTTAGAAACTCCAACATTTACCTATCCCTGGATTAAGAGAGATCATCCAAAAAAAAAAGGAATTCCTGGCTGACCCCTCATGGAAGAAATTTGCCTGCTGGCCTCCTTTGCGTGCTGCTGTAATACACAGCCTTGCAAAGCCCCTTATTCTCCGACCGCAGTCTTCACCCGTCCGCCGTATGCGGTGCCTGCTGCGGGTAAGGCCCTGCAAGAGGGGTAGCTCCCCGGACCCCATGCCAGGAAGTCTCCTCCTCTGAGCGGTTGGTCCGTGTGATCCCATCCTACCACCTGGACCCCTGTCTGCTTGTTGCCCCCGGGAAGCTCCGAGACCAGGCAGCCCTCTGCCTCCAGCGCAGGGGCAGAGCTCAGGCTCGATTTAGTGTGAACTCATGCTTGTCTTTAACTTATTTTGTAAGTTCTTCTTTTTCTTTTTTTCATTCCCTCACTTAGGTGAGGTTGTTGAGTGGTCTGATTTTTGTAAGCTGCTTAACTCTTAAGGAGTAAACTGAGGGAATAAACACGGATCAGGTGTTCTCAGTTTTCAATGTTTAGAGGACAACATGTATATCAATTGCCAGTTTCGGGTAGCTGGAATATGTGCAGTATAGTTGGCTTGAAAACCATTCTTGTTCTGAGTATGACTAAACCCTAAGCTCCATGCTGTCCCGATCTCGGAATCTTCCCCAGCCAGTGCTGTGCTTGGCATGTAGTAGGTGCTCAGTTAACATACCCTAAGATGTGAACAGGATCTGTCTGCCTCTGAGTTACCCACCAGCACAGCAGGAGATTCTCGGAGCAAAGAGAAGCCAAGATTCTCTGGTGTGTTCTACCCCTTCGTCGCACGTGGAGGGGAGGGAACACAGCTGGCGCCTCTAACAGTCTTGTCTCCTCCTCCGCAGACTCATATTTCCAGACTCCCTCCTGGTGCGGTGGCCGGACAGTCCGTGGCCATTGAAGGTGGGGTCTGCCGCCTGGAGAGCCCGGTGAGCTGAGCCTTCCAGCGGACCCCGGAGCGTCGAGGGCATCACCGAACCCGAGCTCCATGGGCTTCTAACGAAGCTGGATGTTTTACCTTCCTCATTTCATAACTTCTGTCGCAGCCTCTTGCGTCCGTCGCGACACTAGTGCTGCTGTAGTTAGCGCTTGGCGACACGCGGGTCTTGGGTGGGCGAGTGGGATGCTGTGTGTGTGAGTGCGTGTGCGTGTGTGTGCTCGCTTCTTCAATGAATTAGAAACTCCTTCTTATTATGTAACCTCAGACCAGGAATGATTAAATCATCTTCCCAAAATGTGTGCTTTAACTGTTTACAGGTAAAACCTAAAGTTGCAGGAAACGGTTGATTTCACAAAGCGGTACGGACTGTGTTGATGTAACATGTAATGTGTCTGAAACTGCAGAGTAAATCTGCTTGTTGCAGTGATTGACAGTGGCGTGCTCCTGATCACAGTGCTAGTAACCAAGTGTTTTTATTTGTTAGCCAGTTTAAGTGGATCCTGTGGTGACTTAAACTGCTGTTCTCATCCCTCATATGGGGCATTTTTCTTTAACAAAGAATGGTTTCAGTGAAACAATCTAGCAGAGAATTAAGGTCAGAACCTTTTTAAATAATAGTCTTATTGATAAAGTTTGTACTTCCTTCCTCAAGCTTTTCTAAGCTTAAATCCTGCATAGCTTCGAGCTGTGTGTACTGTATTATGAAAGAATATGTAAAGAGAACATACAGTAATGCAGTCCTTAATCTGTGTATAATGGAATGTTATTTACAATGTAACACTGTAAATAAGAAAGCAAAATTTATGGGAAAATTCAATATTATCTTTGTTTCTTGTTTAAATATATTTTTAAGATAAAAGGCACAAAAATAAAAGAAGCATATTACTGGATATAGGTGTGTGATTCTCCTCTGACTAATAAATTATCTTTTGAATCCTAGAGTGGAGAGTTGTTTTTTATTTTGTTTGTAAAAAGTTTACTTTTTCCAGAAATCATACGCCAGATCATATTTCCAGAAGTCGTATGCCTCTAGCTGTACTTCTAATTGTTCAAAATCCAGTTTTATTTCTTTGTTATTAGACTGGACACCAGCAAGATGAAAGATGAACTTAGTGCATGATTGTGTGGTCAATGTAGAAGTCCCTAAAATTTCCACTGTAATTTGATTTAAAAAAAAAATAATGAAGGAAAGGAATAGGAACACTTTGCTTTGAGAAATGGCAATGGCAGCTGAAAAGTCAATGGTTTCAGTTGATAAATTGCTTCTAAATGTTATATTTAGTGATTCTGGAGCCACATAAGAAAACTAAGACTTCCCTTTTGATTTTATGTGTAAGAGGCAACTATCAAGAAGATACTAAAGATAGACTTGCTCCTGGGGAGGAAGTTCCCACCATATAATCATGGCTCTGGGCGGTAACTGATAAAGCCCCGGATGAAATTATATACTTGACATCGATGTATGGCCAAATTACAAAGGAAAGACAACCAGAATGGAGTGGGTGTAAATATGAACGATTTGGGAGTTGCTGACTTATATCCCTCATACAAGCAATTACATTTGTCTTTGTGTTCTTGGAGACAGGTTGGTGCCGTGGTATCTGTTTCTTATTCTTAATGAGGCCAAGAACTTAGTAAGAGATCGGCTGGCTGGTAGGGAGCCTTTGGCTTCAAAAGCTTTCAAAGACCTGTTACCTGTTGGCAGGGCTTTTTTTCAGGAACTGGATTGGATCACATAAAACTATCAGGACACTTTGGAATCTGAAAATCATCTGACCTATTTCACCAGGAATGCCATTTCTTTCATCTCCTTTTGACTTTATCCCATTCACATTTGAAAGTTTGGGTTTGTTAAACACCATTTTTATGAAGAGTTTAAAAACTGGTCAGTATAAAAGGGCACAGCCCCTCCAAAAACAGTTCATTAAGACTGTTTTTCTAGTTGTTGGTTTTTTTAAATAAAAGGACTATTGTGAAACTAAGAGGGGGGAAAATGGTACTAAGGATCATGGAGGCAAAAAAGTAATGGGGGTAGTATAAGTGCCTTAATTATAAGATCAGATATTGAAGAAAAGCTAGTGGAACCAGAAGACTCTGACAGATATAAGATCAACATCGTTTCATTCAAAAGCAGGAAAGGTAGAAATGAACAGGAATATAACCTCATTCCAAGTCTGGCCTCTGTCACCAAGACTCTGAAGCTGTGTTTGAAGATGCCCACTTTTAATGTGGATGATCCTGACCACAGACTTGTTTTCTATTTCTTTTAAGGCCTGGGCATTTGGTGTCTGGTTCTCTTGGATATCGCCATCCCTGTGATCCTCTCTGAGTTTAGGAATGGGGATTTCTTCTGCCCTTGGCAAAGAGGCAGAGGCTGTGCCCTGTATCCTGAGGAGTCCTTGTGCAGACCTACCGGCGTGGAAGTCGTGTCTGGACTCTGTCCTCACTTCACCTCTGCCAGTTCTCTCTGCTTCCTCTGTGTCTGCCTGCGGTGGGTACTTTCTCGTCTAACTGCCTCTTCTAAATGTGCACTTGAACTCAGATACCAATGTCTGCTAGAGCTGTGTATGAAGTACATGTAAACAAGTCATCAGTACTAGTCTGAGATGCTTGTCTGTGAGCAAATGGACATGTTTTAGTTTATTGATATGGGGACATCTCTTTTGGTTACTGAGAAGCCTTTTGGCATCTTGCCCCGTGTTCGGGGGTGGGGATGTTCATGCCAGGTACCTGAGATGAGCAAGGTTACTCTGTTCTAACAGATGGAGGGTGTGAGGGAGGGGAGCAGGGAGTGACGAAAGGGAGATTTAGAAAAGTGCTAGAATTATTAATTATTGTGGAATTTTAAAAAATCTGATCATTGTTACAAAAGCGATCTATGCATATTATAATAAAAATAGTAGAAAATAAAGAAAAGCAAGAAAAAAAAATTCATAACCCTATTTCCCTAGAGACAACAGTTTATAACACTTTAGTTTGTATCCTTTAGTTTCTATTCTTAAAGATTCTTCTTATGCATAAATTTTCTGTGCTTTTAACACACAAGTCAGATTATATTGAACCCCTAAATGGGGTTATATAGCCTTCAGTTTTCACTTAATAATATTATGGAAAGCTGTCCAAACCTGTAGGGCTACATATACCTCATTACCCCCTTTCCCCATACAAGGCTGATTTGGCTAATTCACAAAGGTATATGAATATATATATTTTATATGAAAACTGTTATAAACCCTTCAGAGTACTGACCTCTATTTTCAGCACCTATTCTTGGAGACCATTATATACAAAGATATAATCTGAAAAAGTATTATAAAGTATTAGCTAAAAAGGTATTATTTTCCCTTATAGATTATTACAAAATACTGAGTTTAGTTCCTATGCTGTATAGTAGGTCCTTGTTGGTTATCTGCTTTTTATATAGTGTATCAATTAATTCCAAGCTCTTAATGTATCCCTCCTCTTCCTTTTCCCTTTAGTATATGGTTAAATTCTTAAACAATGCCTCCTAACATTAACAAAAATATATTTCTTGAGTCATACCCATCAACTTTCCTCTGACATGAGCCCTGCAGTTGCTCAACTGTGAGCCCCCCTGTGCCCTGGAGCCCAGTCTTTTTGCCCTACTTGGGGCTGCGGTGGTGGGTCATGGTGGGGGTTGGGGGGATGGGTCTCCAGAGGGACGTAGATGGAAGTCACTCCCCGCCCCCCACCCCCCAAGAACTGGTCCAAGAAAAGGCTGAACCCAGAAGATGAGCCTTTGTGTGAACGATGACTTCATTTGCCTTTAGCTGTCTTCTAAAACAGTTAGACCTGGACATGGAACAACAGACTGGTTCCAAAAAGGAAAAGGAGTACGTCAAGGCTGTATATTGTCACCCTGCTTATTTAACTTATATGCAGAGTACATCACGAGAAACGCTGGGCTGGAAGAAGCACAAGCTGGAATCAAGATTNATGGACATGAGTTTGTGTAGACTCTGGGACTTGGTGATGGACAGGGAGGCCTGGTGTGCTGCAATTCATGGGGTCGCAAAGAGTCGGACACAACTGGGTGACTGACCTGAACTAAAATTCTCCCCCACAGCCGGTTGAGCCGGGGAAGGAGGTGTGGGTGGGCAGACCTCCTGGGCTGCAGGTGGGAGTGAGTGAGCGGTGGTGGGCAACAGAAAGTAGTCCTTTCGTATTAATATTCATTCTGGGATGTTAGAATTCTTAAGCAATAGATCGCCTCTCCCCAACACTTAGTCTGGGGGAACTGCACAAGGTACCCTTTCAGATGGCTGCCATCAGCATCCCACAGGTTGACCGAGTTGACCAAGCCGCGTTTCTTTTCCGGCCCACTGCTGGCTCTAAGGTGGAAGGCCGCAGGAAGGGTTAACCGCATAACTGGCAGGGCCCTTGCTCCGAGGCTGCACACCCAGCTTCCAGAAGCCCATCCGCCAAGCCTGGGACTATTCTTCCCGACCGGCTGCGGAAGCCAGAGGGAGCGCGAGCACGGTGGGTGCTCCCTTGGGTGCTGGCGTCCCCGGAGCCCTGAAACCGCCATGGCGACGCAGAAAAGACCGGGCGAGGTTTTCTCTGCCTGAAACTGCCACGGGGGTTTGATTGTCAACAGAGCTTCAGAAGCTGCCAAGAAAAAAAAAATCTAAGCAATTCCTTTACCGTCTGCTTCGCTATTATGCTGAAGATACAAAGGGTTGTTCCTAAAACAGCCATTCCTGGGTTTGGGAAATCCAGCAATAGTTAAAGAGATAGACGATCTCATTCTTCTACTATATTAAGGCAAATGAATGTTTCTTTTGCATGTACAAGTAGTAAGATTTGAATCTTTCCACCCAAGATTTTCCCCCAAGCCCACTAACTAGCTGCCAGTCGGTCTGGTTAATGCTCCCAGCGTTCTTCTGGACGGTCAGACCCAAATCCTTGGGTTGGTTTTTTTTTTTTTCCATGTATCACAGCACAGAGAACCGCACCAAGTCCTAGTAGCTTTGACAATGGCTCTATTTATCTGCTCACAGCTCCGTTAGTGAGACTCGGCCTCTCTCAGGGGTTTTCCAGTGCTTTCACTGGTAGTCACTGGTGTGCTCGGCTAAGCTGGAGCGTGAGCTAGGGGCTGGGCTGACTGAGCATCCTTTCTCCTTGAAGGCTCAGGGCCTCTCCCTCTGTTTGAGGCTTCTCAACATGGTCCTTTCACGCCGTCTCTCCTCCAGGTTGTGGTGCCTTCAGGGTCCGAGCAACACAAAAACCGAAGCTGCTGCCCTGTGGAGTGTGGGAATCTTATTTCCCCAGCCAAGGAATGCGCCCTCGTCCCCGGCATTGGAAGGTGGATTCTTAACCCCAGGGCCGCCAGGGCATTCCCTTGCCCTGCCTTTTTAGATTAAGTCCAGGGCTGGCCCAACATTTGCTACATTTGTCGCTTCCATCAAGTCCCCTGGCTAAGCCCAGATTCAAGAAGAAGGGGCTGCATAAGGGCAGGAATCCAGAGTCAAGATGTACGGGGCCACTCACCCAACATCCTTGAATCTACTTTCGCTCCTATTTTACAACAAACCCATGAAGAGATTCTATTGGCCCTCTTTTTTTTTTTTGGAACATTTATTTATTTGGCTGCACTCAGTTGCCACACTCAAGATCTTCAATCTCCGTTGCTGCGTTGGGGATCTTTTTTAAGCTGTGGCATGCAAACTCTTAATTGCAGCGCGTGGGATCTAGTTTCCTGACCAGGAATTGAACTCAGGCCGCTTGCCTTGGAAGTGCAGGGTCTTAGCCACTGGACCACTAAGAAAGTCCCTTCTATTGCTACTCCTTTAAAGTGTAGCCGGAAGCCAACCACTTCCCGCCAGCCCACTGCAGCCATCCACATCATCTCTGACCTGACTCATCACAGCAGGGTCCCTGCTGGCCCCCTGTGTCTGCACTGGCCCCTCAGGTGCTCT